TGGTGTACTGAAGATCAGTCAACGGGACTATTTGGAGGGTTTGCTCAAGCGTTTTGGGATGAGCGAATCCAAGCCGAGGTCGACGCCGATCGAGCATCGCTTGAAGTTGACTAAGGGAGACGAGAGTCAGCGAACAGACAAGCCGTACCGGGAGTTGGTTGGCTGTCTGATGTACGCTTCACTCACTACTCGACCGGATCTGTCGGCTGCCATCAACTATTTCAGCCAATTCCAGTCGTGTCCCAACGATGAACACTGGACCTATTTGAAGCAGATGTTGCGGTACGTCCAAGGCACACTGGATGTTGGATTGGTTTATCGGAAGCAGCCAAACGTGCAGTTATTGGAAGTTTTCTCCGATGCAGATTGGGCCAACAACAACCTGGACCGGCGATCTGTAACGGGATGTGTTTGCAAGGTATACGGATGCACCGTGAGCTGGCTTACACGCAAGCAGCAAACGGTCGCCTTATCGTCCACCGAAGCAGAACTGGCAGCGTTGTGTACGGCCACGTGTCAGGTCGTTTGGATGAAGAGGATGCTTGGAGATCTTGGATGTTCAATCGAGGGTCCCATTCCAGTTTTTGAGGACAATCAGTCCACCATTCGCATTGCTGAGGATTCGAAGGACTATGGTCGACTCAAGCACGTGGACACCAAATTTCATTTCCTACGTGATCTTGTGCAGCAGGGTGTCATCATCATCAAGTTCGTGCGTTCTTCAGAGCAAGAAGCAGACATCATGACAAAGGGTCTTTCGGTCACCGCCTTCAGAGGACTCCGCACCAGGCTGGGACTGGAGACTACCGTGGTTAAGCAGGGGTGTTAAGAGTGTAACCACAGTGTACTAGTTGCCCCTACCTTTGGTACGCCCCTGTGCGTTTTTCTACTACATCATTCGCTCAGAGTAAACAAAAGTAAAACACGTTTCAATAAAGTTCAATTTCGTTTTTCCTTAAATCGCTATTTTTCTCGGTTTATTTCCTCCTGGTGTATCCGAAACCACTTCATTTATTGCTTATTTAGCTGCTCATATGATGTATTCTAGGATAACTCAAATGGCAAGGCAAGCGGTTGGTGATCGGAAGGTCATGGTTCGAATCCCATTTAACGACATGTGTGTGTAGTATGTATGTAATAAATTCGACAGAAATAATGACACAACAATCACTAACGAGAACAACCCTGCTCGTGTCGTTCTTTTCGGATTAATTATCCCGTAGTTGAATAATCGTTTAATAAATGTATAATGATGTAATAATTAAACATTATTTCACATGAGAATCAAGCGTCTATATACACCTTTATACCATCGCTGTTTAAGGATGTACAGATGGTCTAATAAACGCTGAATAATCAAAAATTTGATCGAATGAGTTCTGTTACAACTTTTGTAAGTCGAATAAAAGCTTTTCGACATACCTTATTTCAACACCAAATATTTCGATGTTGTGGTTGAATAAATTCTCCAGATTTGTGTGAACAAAGCCTGAACAGAAGTTATTATTAAAAATAGTACAAGTATTATTAAGCATGAAGTGGAATAAAATCGTCAAGAAGTCGTTTCTTCAATAGGCAATTGTTTGTTGGGCGTGCAGTGAGTTGTTTTTTAAGCTCTAGCACCATGGCTTTGAGCTGCTCAATCTCATTTTGCCGTGTCTCTGGCATTTTCTTGTTGGAATAAAGCGTATGATAAAAGAAATGTTACTTACAGGAAGAACATAGAAGGTGCGCTTGTGGCGGATAGCAATCGGTCGTCCGGTGTTCAACTGGTCTCGCTAGGCTGCTGCTGCTGCTGTTGCTTTTACTGCTGCTGCTGCTGCTGCTGCGGTTCGTTGATACGGGAGCAGCTTTACTATCACTTTTGAAAATACCACACTCGCGGATCCCACTTCTGACACCAGTTAAGGATCGTTCGTTACGTTTTAGGTTTTTAAAAAGCTAAAACTTCACTTAACACACTTTATTCACTTAGAAACTAAACCGAGTACACTAACTGTTCGATGATGAAAGAGAGCGAACCACCTGCTCACTACCTATTTATGCACTTAAAGTGCTTACTAGGCTGTTCTACCCTACCGGCTTCCTATTGGCGCAATCCATGGCGTGATGCACCTGGATTGCGCGCCAACTGCTGCTATTGGCTAATCCAACTAACAGGATTTTCCTAACTTAGACAACTTTCAATATCCCAAAATGAGGGATCAATTTTGTTTAATTCAAATTAAATTAGTAGGGGAAATGTCTCTAATGTTGGCCTATGGATCGAAGATCGCTAAAAATCTACTATTTACCAATTTTATCTAGATGAACGCGTTATTGGGACGTTACTAATGGATATTTTTAGGTTGCTCTTGAAAATTTAGTCGATTGCTGATTTATGTATGGGCTCAAATTAGGGACACTTAGGCCGACATTACCTGCATTTCCCCTATCCCATCAATTTTCAGTATCTGAATGTGTTTCGTTTGCCTAGTGAACGGCATTCGCTCAACAAAATCACTCTTGAGCACCTTAAGTGGTGCATAGGACCTACGTGAAAGATTTCCAACCTTGGCGGCTCCTTTTTTTAGGCTCCATCTTCATGAGCTACTAGGTTTGCCTCTGCTACGTTATCCTTGCGGGTTCCAATCCAACACTTTCATGTAAATTTCGTTTCCGCCCCTGGTCAAACCACCTCCGTGTTCTCGCTTTTCAGTTGATATCGACTGGAGCTCAGCATTCGAGATCCAGTTGCGAGGTCACCATGCATGAATTGTATATCGCAGCGTGGCGTGGTGAGGGTTTGTTACTCCATATCCTTGGTAAACCATGAAAATGATGCCTCAGCTTTGCACGGGATATCATTTTTTTTTTCAAATATGTACTGATTTCAGAATTAGCGTTTACTTTACACACTAAGAAATTTTACAGTATATTGTAATTTTTTACCGAATATGGAACAGCTGAACATTCGGTAATCTATTCGGTAATTTTATTATTCACAATCCGTTCAGTAAATTTTCTTCACTCTTGAGCTGTCAATTTTTTTTTTATTTTTTGTATATTATCATCGTACGTTCGTACAAAAATAATATTCAACAGAGAAGGACGATGTTACTGACTCCGTAACAAACCATACACAAATTGGCTTTTTTGCGTTTGATAGGGACACTAGGCCGCATTACGTCCATGGTGACTGAAAGCAATTGGTCTAGAAGTTCACTGAAAAATTAACCATTTCGACCTATGCCTATGCCGACCTATAACGGATTGTAAATAGCAAAAAATAGTAAATTACTTACTTTTCACACCGGAGAATCGAAGAAAACTCAACTTTGAAATGGCGGCAAATACTGAGATTGACAATATGAAATTTACAATCCTGTTCGGTAACGTTTACAAAAATCTGTTACTTTACTACGGTTTGTTTTTGAAAAAGATTATTTTTACAGTACATTTGCCACACTTTTTACAGTATCGCGGAATTACAGCCCGTTACAGTTTTGATCAGTAATTTTTATTTACAGTTTTCGGTAAATTTATGTAATTTACGGAAATTCAGCAGTTTTGATTGCGGAGAATTGGTAATAGGGGAAATGACGGCTTCGGCATGCCAGACTATTTTCGGCAACCCAAATTGAAACACTATTTTCACTGGATTTTCTTACGAAATCACTTCGCTGAATGCATGCAAACGATTCTTTATGCTTTCAGCTTCAATTTGACTATATTTTTACCACTGAGAAAAAGCAATCTAGCAAGGTTTTCTTGAAATGAAACACACGCACTACAAATTGTAGCTGATTTCGAGTTGCCGATAATAGAACAGCAGATTTACATGCAGTTCAAATGGAACGGTTGCCGAAGAAAAACTGGTTGCCGACAATACTCGCTCTCACTAGAGAAGATTGGAGCTTTGTAAAAGCGTTTCAAAACAGTTTTTGACAATTCATTCGACTGAAATTGTTAGAGCAGCTGGCAGCAAATGATTCTAAACAAACCAATACCAACAATCAATACGAAACTAACGATTTTAAATTGGCTCACCACTTTAGTAGCCTATTGGTCCCAAGCAAACGATTAACGTACCCTATTCTAGTTGAAATTCTATTACTACACTATGTTTGTTTTGATTCGCTATGAAAGTTTGACAGATAACATCAGGGGTGTGTGGATTCATGCAGAACATGCAGGGGTGAGTGAAATAGCTTGGGACTGCTTGGGACCGTTGTTCTGGTACTGAGTGAGCCAAAAATAATAATGATTTTCTTCGGGACCCAGTGGTCTTAGAGTTACCTCTATGATTGTACCACATGGCAACACTACTAATGGATTTTACCACATGGCAGCACTAAATGTACTAGAATGTTTTGGTTCTATCTCTTTCACTCTACTCCAAACTGAAATGCATAAAAAATTACAAAAGGATACACTCTTTGCACACTGTCAAAGATCATATTGCACACAAAATCAACTATGTTCAAATCAAAACAAAAATAATAGCCCATCTGGTGGCTGATGGCACAAGCTTCTAAGAAAATTCTATTACAGCGAACCACATTATTTTAATTGATTTCTTCGCCGTCTGTCACTTCGTTTGTGATTATAGTATCCCATTGTTTCATAATACCGAAAAATAGCATTTTAGCTGTAATGAGCAATTGCTAGCCTGTTTAGCACAAACAGACATAACAATTGCATGTTGTTCATCGAACACGCATTTAACAGTCAATTTAGATGTGTTTTAGTTAGGAATATCGCCACCTGTGGCGCGCATAGTAAATTCCCTTGTAATTGACGTTTACACACTACCGCCATCTGTTCGGTGTGCTGCCCATCACAGTATACTCAACAGATGGCGGTAGTGTTTTAGCGACGATGTTTTTTATTGAGAAATATTCAATGTGTTATGTCTGCTTGTCTGTGGATTTAGCTTAGTTTGGACTGACTGCACATATCCTTGGCCCCAGAACGATCCTGATCTACAACACACACAAAAGCTATTCAAACTAGTTTTATTAAAGCTTATGTTGTTAGAATCGCGTTGCACGGAAAAAAAAACATATTTATGGTAGGAAGGTACCTTAAATTACTGGTAAATAAAATAATTCAACAAAAGCGTATCAAGAGAGCTCTAATGATCCTCCGGAATGTATGAAATGCAGCAGAAATAAGTCTCTGAGTGCGGTTTGCTCATTCATCGTCCTCGTCCGAGATGTACACAACCTTGGAGATATTTCTGCTACTGGTTCGAGAGCTGGCCGGTGGCTTCGCCGTGTGGGTCATGAAGGAATCAATCCTGCTGGTCGAAGAATTATTGGATGAACCTTTGCCCTTACCTCTACCACGCCCACTGGCAGTTGAGGCAGCAGAGGTGTTGCGCGATCCTCTTCCTCCGCGGCTTCCCCGTCCACCACGAGCAGTAGCGGACGCTGGAGGAGCTAGTACAGAAGAAATATTTGAACTGGCCTTTGGATTGTCTGCATCTTCTTCATCACTGTCGTGAGTCAACGAACGTGTTCGATCATTTGGACCCGGACCTTTCTGACTACGAGAGTCCAACATCTGCGTGAGGAGAAATTACTAAATTAGAACATTATCCACTAAACTTACTTATGAAAATAGCTCACCTTTAGCATATCGTTGTGCGTATCGCGCTTTGTGGAACGGAAGCTTTCCAGAACCTCATCGATGTTGTCCTCATTAATTACTTGACCTTCTAAATGCTGCAGCACTTGCCGTTCGTAGAACTTGACAATGCTGTCCGCTGCGTCATCGTCCTCGTAATCGACCATACGTTTCGTCAATTCGCTCATACTCTTGCAATACAACAGCTCCAGCTGCTTATCTTCTGACGCCTCTTTGAAGTACCTATCCACAACTTCCTCCGCTCGGTTGGCCGTCGCTTCCCGTTGATTCTGGAATGCTTCAAGCAGTGCTTCCTTATCCAATGGTTTAGCTTCGTCCTTTGCCCTGGTAATCTTCTTCTTGAACACAACCATATCCTGTGGATTAGCCACCCGGCCACTGTACTGCTGCCCGAAGCGGATAGAATTGAACTGCTGCTCCACATCGGTTATGTCCAATCGCAACCGAATCAAGGGCAACTTCGGTTGCTTCTGGTTTCCGGTCAATTTCTCCTCGGCACGCTTGATCAGTTCTTCGATTTTCTCCGCGGCGAAATTCTGCATCTTTTGCTGGACATCACCCTCGTCCAATCGCAACTCATCGAAATACTCAGCCATGTTGATAGACTCAAAGATGAACGGCCGAACCGTCTGCAAGCGGATCGGATCCAAACGGAACAAACTCTTATGGATGCTGAGAATCCCACAGCACTTATCGAGCGCTTCCCCTTCGGCAAGGGAAGTGGCTACCGTTGAACCCGGCTGACTAACGTAAAACTTCTTGCTCACATTCTCCTCCGGAATAATGCGACAGTCGTGCTCGTGACCCCAAATCACCAGATCAAGGAAAGCTGAAAATCAGTTTGATCTTAAGTAACATTCATCCTAAAAATAAATACCATCCTACCTGGTAACGACTTCTCCGGTAAGTAGTTTTTCGGACCGCGGTCGGCCCTGTTCTGGTGGAGTACCATTATATTGAACCAGCCGGAATCCTCCGGCTTCTCCAGGAAAACCTTGGCCTCGTTGAACAACCGCGCCAGTCTGGCATCGCTGATGTAACTCAACCCGTACAGAGCCATTTTCGTTTCGCCTTTCTTCAGCAGAATCGGACTGATGTTGATTTTTGTTAAATCCGTCCACTTGCCAAAGTAGTTCACGTATCCATTCGTACTCAACAAATCCAGCGAACTGATCCTCCCGAATCCACTCGGATCGTCGTGATTGCCATGGATGGAGAACATCGGAATGGCAATGTTCATGTTCGGATCTTCATAATTGACCGTCTTGTTGAGTGATTCCAGGAAATTTTCGTTCTGATCACTAAGAAACTCCAGCTTGATGGGCTTGTCGCCCAGCAAGTAGGTCTTCAGCAATCGTGTACATCTGTTCAGCGTGTTCGTCGACGGATTCGCTATGTGGAACAAATCGCCACCCAAAATTATGGCGTCCACATCGTTCTCCAGCGCATGCTGGAGTACTTCCTCGAATGCGATGAAACTGTCCTCTCCTGAAATTTAAATGTCTTACCACAACCCTTTCGAAAACAACTTATTCACCACAGGACTTACCTCGGATAACATCCTTTTCATTGTATCCCAGATGGATATCACTGGCAACCAAAATCTTGATCGTGTCCTCCGGATCAATGGTGGAATTCTGAGTGGATTCAGACATCTTAGATACACTAATTAAATACGCTGACAAATTGAACACCAAGACTGAATAAATTTAATTTAATTCCTGAATAATCATGAACGACAGTTTGTTTATCGCTCGCAAAAGAAACACCGGTGTTTCTGTTTTGATGACATTTTGAACTTTTGCGCCATTATTCTCGTTACAAAGCGTCTCAAGATGTTTCCAGTGTGGCTGGAAATATTTCAAAACGAGCAATGCGCACGACCCTGCACGGAGAAAAAATACTACCCAAAAGTTGAGTTCTTTTTACTTAATTTTGAGTTTAGCCTCTCACATATTGCACTCTCCCTTTTTATGGCACAGACCTGTTGGTCCATATTAACTTATTGCACTCGTTATTGTTGTCAAAAAAGGAACGAGAGATTCGACCCAACCATATAGTTCAACCCAATAAGTTACTTTTGAGTAAAAAATTCTCAAATTTGCGTGAATTAAACTTAATTTTGGGTAGAAAATATAACAAATATAATAAAATATAATAAATTTTTAGGGGACAAAAAATAATCGTTACTAAAATTAAAAATACCATGGGTAGAATTAAAAGTTTTCGTTGGTTCTTTTTGGTAGAAAGTTCGAAGCATTCATCATAAAAATGTGTAAACTGTCAAATCAAAAGTTTAAGTCCTCGTTAAATTCAAAAGTTGAAGCTTTTGAATCAAATTGTAGAACTGTCAAAAGGAAAACCAATGTTTTTAAAATGAAGTTTCAGTTCAAAAGGAGTCGCTTTTATCATGACAATATATGTTTTTATCTTAAATTTGAAATATTATCAGATTAATAGTTTTCAAGATTTAAAAAAGTACCCAAACTCATATTTGCAGGATTTAAAAAAAAAAAAAGTTTATACATATATTTTCGAGAGTTTTATAAAAACAAACAAAACAAAACAATACATTGTTAAAATGACCATTGCAAATTTTGTCCTAGTCCAAGGAATCAAAGGAAGGTATTTGGTCCAACCTCGGGTCGACGGCAATTTCGGAACTTTCCTCTTGCTTTGTGCGACGAGTGCTTTGGGAAACGTTCGCTTGACAATGATGATGATGATGATGATGATGGTCCCACCTCTTACCCCTACAAAGGTTTGAGCTGGACGATTTATCTTTAAGATAATTAAATATGACATTTTAACCAGGTTGGCAAACAAAATCGAACTGGTTTCAGTTACAGATATAAATTCCCTCTAGAGTTTACAGTTGCTTCACAGCGATATAAATGTTGAAAAGCTCAGGCGTCCACCTCTTAGTTCGCCTTTTTGTCCACCTAAAATATTCATAAGTATTACAAGCAATCAAGAGTTAATGAACAATCAACAAAGCATCCTATTACACTAGTAACCCCGCAATCTGATGCTATCATAATTTTCAGCAATGTCAGGAATGCTCACAAACCCCCAACATTTGCCAGAAAACTCACTACTAACTCAAGGTATCTTCCAAATAAGCTTCAAAATTGCATTTTTTTTTTTATCAAATGTTAAATTCAGTCCTCTATATCCGTAATACGCGCGCGAGGCTCAAACCTTTGTAGACTACTATTTTTTTTTACTACTACTATTAAATCATATATCAAAAATCCATCATCACCATCGTGACGAACAAAATAGTTTTTGCAGTGCTACAATAATTATTAAAAAGTCGTTATAACAGCTATCCATACAAAGTAATCCGTTAAAAATAACTTCGTCAAGATACATAATTTGTCAATTCATAAAAAAAAATCACTGGATAACCGTTCAAAAGACAGTTTTAACGTGTGAAATGCAATGTCTCTTAAATTCTGCTAATGTTGTTGAACGTTTAATGTGTCTAGGCATCGAATTGAAAACATTTATTCCTTTAAAAAATAATGAATTCTGTGAAGCACAAGTCAAGAAATGTGGTGTTCTTATTTCATCCGCGTTTCTAGTATTATATCTATGATAGTCACTTCCTCTTTCAATTCGATCACACAAATATCGAGGCAGCAAACCGTTAACTACTTTAAAAATGAACACCATAGTCAAATATACAATTCTTTGCTTCACCGACAACCATTGTAAGGCGTCTAACATCAAAGTTGAGGAAGTGAATCTATTACATCTCAAAATCAAACGCATTATTTTATTCTGCAAGCGCTGTAATCTCGATATTTGTGTTGCATTCGACAGAAATAAAATGGATGGGCAAAAGTCTAGATGAGGAGAGATGATTGATTTGTATAGCTGTATTTTACTGGCAATAGTTAAATCGTTTTTCAATCGACATAGAATTCCATACTTCTTGGCAATTTTCTTGATGACATTGTCAATGTGAGAGTTGAACTTAAGTTTGTCATCAATAATCACGCCAAGATATTTAATCTCCTGAACGCGATCAATAGTCTCATTATCAATTACAACAGAGACGTTCTCATTTAGTCGATTCCGCGAAATTACCATAAATTTAGTTTTACTTGTATTCAATTTTAACTGCTTACACTTCAACCATCTACTTAGATACTGCAAATCTTCATTCAAGTGTGAGACGGCAACTTCTAAATCCTTAGCTGCAATGAATAACACAGTATCATCTGCAAGGCAATCCCAATACCACTCCATGGAAACGGCATTCTTTACGACGTCTTCCTGCTGGAGCTACATTGTTCTCCATGAGCTGGCGATATAGAATCTACAAAAAAACAAAAATACAACCTTTGAAATACAACCATTGCATGCCACAAAAGTGGGACACTCACTCACCATAGCAATATCCAGCAGAATGGTGAAGACAGAAAATCCATGTCATCAGCACCGGTGAGCCACCCACCACGGGAATTGACCACCACCCGAACGACCCGACCACGTACCTACGATGTAAAAACAAATTTAATCGATCCCTCGATCGATCATAAGAAAAATTAATTTCCAACTCACCTATCATTTCCTGTTGCAGTGGCAGAATCACCATTGATTGCCACTGCACTATCGTCACTGGAGGCAGCTTTCGAACACCGATTCCACCGTAAACTGCTTTTTTTTACCTCCGTCTCGTCCACTCATATTCAATATTGGCGGAAAGTGAAGTGGGGTTCAGAGATCGGTTCAGTGCTGCCAAAAACTTTACTATGAAGAGGTATTTTTGACAGCTGAACAACTTTTATATAAACATAATGCAGTTTTAAAATCACAAGTCAAAAGTGAAAGAAAAACTTTCAAACCAAAGATATAACTTTCATTTTGAAAATTTTCCCAGTTAAAACTATGAAATTTGGGAAACTTTCATTTTGAAAATGCATTATTTTCATAGCAACAATTTTTGTTTGTTGTGTGTAGTTTTTTTTTTCTGGTGTTATAGTACGTTCAGACTACAGAGTTATAACATGTTATAGTGCTATCTTGATGGTGGTTTCTGTGTTGCAATTATTTGACAACCGTTATAACATGTTATAACTCTCCAGTCTGTACAGCGTTTTAAACGCTGTTAAACATGTTATAACGGTTGTCAACTAAATGCAACACAGAAATTACCATCAAGATAGCGCTATAACATGTTATAACCATAGAGGTAACTCTAATAGTACGTTCAGACTACAGAGTTATAACATGTTATAGCGCTATCTTGATGGTGGTTTCTGTGTTGCAATTATTTGACAACCGTTATAACATGTTATAACTCTCCAGTCTGGACAGCGTTTAAGACCACTGGGTCCCGAAGAAAACCATTATTATTTTTGGCTCACTCAGGACCAGAAGAACGGTCTCAAGCAGTCCCAAGCTATTTCACTCACCCCTGCATGTTCTGCATGAATCCACACACCCCTGATGTTATCTGTCAAACTTTCATAGCGAATCAAAACAAACATAGTGTAGTAATAGAATTTCAACTAGAATAGGGTACGTTAATCGTTTACTTGGGACCAATAGGCTAGTCAAGTAGTGAGCCAATTTATAATCGTTAGTTTCGTATTGATTGTTGTTATAACTCTGTAGTCTGAACGTACTATTAAATGAAAGCTACTACCCGACCAACCATTCGTGAAACTTCTTCAAAGTTCTTTATACAAAAATAAAGATTAATGTCGGTAATTCTTTACTTTCAAGTTTCTTTGATTTCGATGAATATATTTAAAAACCTTTATTGATCGATACTTACATTTAAGATAATTACTTTATCGGCCGCATGATAGTTATATATAAAGATGCCATACTAAATTTCTTCTAATTTCGATGTGTCACAAGGACTATAGTTGTCTTTATAAACAATTATATTCATCTAAAAATATTTGAATACTGATACCATCGTAAGATCGTAACGTTGAACTTTGGCAAAGAACAATAAAGATTGCCATCGATGCACATTTATAATCACCTTGTTATAGTTTTGCATCGCTGGGTAAAGAAAGTTTGATACACACTAGATGACAGATGGCAATGTTTATATTAGTTATCGACAAATTTGGTTCTTCATCATGAGAAGCATTATCTGCCGGAAAATTAATGGGAAGACTGATCGATGGCCACGATGATACAAATGTTAGCCATTATAGTTCTTTCTCGAGTTCTTTAAGTTTACGTCGATACGCTCTTGGTCATTTCTTAAGGGTCACCCACATTAGATCCGTTTGCGTTGCGTTGACGTAAATTTGACAGTTAGACAATAGATTTAGCTGTCACTTTGCCGCAACGTGTCCAATCCGGATCTAATGTGCGTGGGCCTTTAAGAATCAGCGATAGCAAGCGTGGTAGAATTCTCGGCATTTTGAACCGAATGAGGGAACTTGATACTTTGGTTATGGATATGACAAACAAATTTTGAATTCTTGCTTGAAAAGATGTACATAAGCTACACATAAAAAATTATCGTTAGTAAAACTAAAAAAAAACCATTGGTAGAATTAAAAGTTTTCGTTGGTTCTTTTTGGTAGAAAGTCTTTAGCTTTCAAAACAAAAGTCAGCTAACTGTCAATTCAAAAGTTGCGCGCATGCTACTTTTAAAAGTAGAAACTTTCAAAACAAATTGTAGTTCTGTCAAATGAAAAGCATGATAGTGTTAGGTATAATTAAAAGTGGATTATTTTTGTATCGAATCAAACTTTTGCCATGAAAGTTTGGTATAGTTGAAAT